TGTCAGACCTCACATGGCTGTGTTAATAGGCAATATCAGTCTAAAACTGGTTAGGGAGGACAGGTTGATTTGATGACGTATTACTCAAAGGAAAACGGAAGTCCTGATTCCGAGACGGTATATCGTGATCTAGTCTTCTGACCACTTGCACCGGCTTGTACAAGTATGGCAAACAAATTCTGGCCCTACTCGTAGGGCCACGTTCATTTGTGAATTTTAATTTTTTAAACATTCTAATTATATATATATATATATATATATATATATATATATATATATATATTGTATTCCACTGTGATTTGTGCTCCTACTATACAAACACACTTCTGGGGTTAGGTTGAAATTTAACCTGTTGCATGCAATTTCAACGTAAAAGACCATAAAGAATTGATAACCTAACGTTTTGGACCCTAATCTAGATTTAGAGGAGTTTAGGCCCGCGCTCCACCGTCAGAATTGTCAACCTTATTATCTCATCCCCCAAACCCTCCCGGTAAATTTTTTTATTTAAAATTAATTTATTGAAAAAATTTTTTATGTGTGGGTGAGAGAGAGGAAGAATGTGTTACACTTGGTAGAGAATGAGAGGGAGAGTCAATGTTGTCAAGAGAGATGTTTTAACTTTTATTTTTATTTTTTACAACAAAAAGGAGAGACAGAGAGAGAATGAATGCGTGGGATAAATATGAATTGACTTTTGAGTAGATTTTTTTAGTAATTTTTTTTAAAAAATTTTTAGTTTTTGGATTTCTAATGCTATGAGTTGGATTATTATCTCAAATTATTGAAATTAAATTTTTTATAGATTTAAACTTTTGATGATGTGGATTAACTATACAGCTAAAATTATGGATCTTCTCAAATTGTAGGGCCTAAAATCCAGGCTTTAGCAGCCACAAGGTTGGGCCAGCGCTCCCCCCAACACCACCCACACACACAAACACTAGTACAAACAAGCCTCGTTAGATCAAAGCCAATATGACATATGTATTTGAAATCGATTGTGACATTTAAACAAAGTAGGCAATATCAAATAACGTAACAATAAATATTATACGTGTTTAATTTGATGATTTCATTGATCGATACTATTGAATTAATAGTGCGTAGAATTCATTTGGGACAAACATTAGCTGGGGAATGGGCCAATGTCAAGAGACTGGGCTATTCAAGTTACATCCCAAGCTTGGAGTTTTGCCAACTTGGGCTTAAGAATCAATAATAACCTAACGTACACGACTTTTACCCCTATTACTTCTAGGACGAGTAAAATGTATGTCAATTTTTCTTAAGCCTTCGCTTAAGAAGAGACTATTTTCGCAATTTCTATATTTACACGTAGATCACCATGAAACAATATTACCCATTTCTCCCAGGCCCACCCTTAAGTCAGGCCTGAGCATGCAATCCAGAGAGAGAGAGAGAGAGAGAGAGAGAATGTGATATGGCCAAGATTTCTATTTCCACGAACACTACCAAATTAAAGGGTAGAGCAAACAATAAAGAGCTTGTAGAGTAGAAGATTCAGAGAACAATACGACAAGATGAATATAATCAGGAGAGTATTTTATTAAATCGAAACAAGATAAGAAGATATATGTTTTACCCTCGTTGCCAAATTCGTTTTTGCCCCGATTGTTGCCTCCTTTAACCAAAAACATCCACGGAAAAAATTGCCCAAGTGCATTAATATTTGATGAAACTCCTAGCTAGGTGAACGCTTGTGCTGATTGTTGCTGTGATCATCCACATGACAATGTTTATGTCAAAACTTATAATTCTTGCAGTGAATTGATTGGATGCATATGGAAGTGACTTTGCCAACATCGAATTTCTTGCATTCTTGATCATGGAAGCATATATTGAAGTCAAATTCATTATATTTAATCGAATTCTCTCTGTAGATCATCTAGAATTGAGAAAATATAGCACGAGAGCATATTCAAATCCATGTAAAGAAATCATGCGTAACGAATATTGAAGTGAAATTCATTATATTTAATCGAATTCTCTCTGTAGATCATCTAGAATTGAGAAAATATAGCACGAGAGCATATTCAAATCCATGTAAAGAAATCATGCGTAACGAATATTGAATCTACGAAAAGTATGCATGTATTTTAGACGCCGAACTCATCCTGCCTACCCATATATTTTGACTGCAGAGAACTTTTTCTTTACATATGGAGCCAAGAATTCCGTCTAGGGTTGACACTTTATTAAGAGAACTTTAATTTTTTTTCTTCTAATTAATAAAAATAAAATATATATATATATATATATTTACTGTGCTGTATTTGATACTTCAAGATTCATAAAATACAAAAGGGTCAAACGTCAATAAATATAATGTATACAAATAAAAGAACAAAAAAAGAGGCTAGTTTACAACCTTTCACAAGAAATGATACTAGCTGCATAAAAAATACTATAGTCATTCTTTATATAAACAATCAAACTATTAACCATTGATCACAGTTATGCAACTTAGTTTTCATAATCTTTATAGATTAAAAAATGAGTCTGACATATTAAAAATTTATTTAGATATATCCATAAAGTGTCCAAAGTGCGTTCAAAAATTTAAGGTTATTTAGGTATGAGACTCTACTAGTTGAGAGAACAAAAAATGATAGAGCGGACACACTTAAATATATTTATAATTATTTGAAATAACCAAATAGAAACATTAAACTAAAAGCCTAGACAACATGAACACCTAGGAAAAAAGACCATATGCAGATAATGAAGAACCATAATAAGACTAAATTACCTCAGATGCTTGTGCCCATAAAAAATCACAGAGCCATCCATTAATAGTAATGAAACTCTGCGTAAAGTTTCCTCCTGTGATATGAGTTACTATCACTTGATCACTTATACTGCTTCAAACATTTATTTGCAATTTCTAACTCAAATAGAATATTACTACCGAAATTGCATTGTACATCCAAAACATGCCTAAGAAGACATGATCCCAGACTGATACTTGATATGTTCCCCCTCTTCCAGGTCCATCACAATAAAAATGACAATCAAGATTTGTTTTATCTAGTATCAAACGGGATCTGCGAGTAAATAGAACACTTTTTAATATTATCAATACCATTACATGAATTGTAAATACATGAATGTGATGGACCAAAAAATATGTTGTTCCTAATGGAATAAGTAACAAAGCTACTTTGCCACTCATTGTTACTAAATCATCACCCCCAAGTTAAACTGAAATTTATTGTTGCATCAAGAGCGATTGCACTAGGTGCTAAAAAATAATATGATTTTAAAAAAAAATCACAGAGGGCCTGTGCCCCCGTAGTCCTCAAGTGGCTCTGCCCATGCACAAAATAGATGTTTATTACAGTTTATTGGTTAAGAATCAACATTAATTCTAAGGGACAGTTTAAGTGGTAATAGGCGTAAGTTTAAAACTCAGATATCTTGAGTTCGAATTTTAACAACTTCTTGGGGTCAAGTCATGAGGGATTTATCCCTCATGAATATCCTAGTCCTATCGTAGATGACTAGTCTTTAGCTGGATAGGGAAAGGGATAAGTTAAGAGGGGTGTAAGCCATAAATTGAACCACCACACACACCTAACCGTTAAACCAAAAAAGGCCAAAAAAAAAAAAAAGTTATGACCCAACATTTGTGATCTTGTGGTGCTTTAGCATTAAGGGCTTGTTTGGTATGTGTTTTGGGAGGGGTTTGGATTGGCTTGTCCAAACCCGAGTTTGATCCAAAGATGAGATTCAACATTCAATGCTGTCTATACCCATGTTTGGTATACGCAGGGATATATAATTATTATGATAATATATTTGTACATAAATAATTATTTTTTCCCTTAACCTATTTGTATATGTGAGATATATAAGATATATAGGGGTACAAATGTCATTTGTATGTTAAATCCTTAACCCATGTATGAACCCCCCGGGTTTCATGACCGGACCATCCAACGGACTGAGCTTCCAAACCCTAGGCTAAACATGAATTTAAGAGATTTATTCCCCAACCCACAATCCAAACTACTCTCAAACCCACCTGCCAAACAACTCCTAAGAATTTTCCTTTCACAGACAGGTTTTGCACGGTTTATGGTGAGATTTTTTTAATATTTTTTTTTTCATTTTTTGTTTGACAGATTATCTATTCTGAATTGAAGTGACACCTATTGTAGAGAAATTAGTCCATCACTAAAACATGACTGATAGAGAAAATATTTGAATCCAAGAGTTTAGTGGATGACGGAGAACTTATTATTGGAGTTGCACAATATGTTTTTTTTTGGAGGTTATAGAAGTACAAAATGGGCCATTGAGACTCTTAAAAAGTACATCACAATGATCAGTTCATTACTAGTTAATGATTTTTTTTTTTTGTTATAGGATAATCAAATTGTGTTGACTATTAGTTCAAGCGAGTTTAGAACAAATTCATTGAGGAACAAAAATAATTGACCCTCGAGAGATATGAAAAATATTGAACCTAAGACTTCTAAATTGTTAGAGGGCAACCCCGCCAATGAACCATCCTAAGGGTTGGTGCTACTTAGACAGATTACTATGTAGAAAACTTGCCAAGATCCCAGCCAATCAATCTACAACTTGTCCTAGTTCAGGGGGGTTCATTACACATAAAACCCATATATTAAATTACCTAGCAATCAGGTGACACCAATTGAAATAGCATCAATAAGACAGCATGCTCTTGTTAGTTCTACACTGGATATATATATATATATATATAGTGCCTAAAAAGTTCCTTTCACTTCACAAGACTTACATCTATAGCGGAATTTAAAAGAAGTAAATGTCTATTATTACCATCATAACGGACTCTTGTTCCAAGTCTGCTCATTTTTTATTGAAAATTGTGCCTATTCAAGTGGGCTCATGTACCTAAGTTGGTTTGTTTAAGATAAATGAGCAGGTGATAAATGTAACATGGCACAGACAATATCAAAAAAAGATCAATCCCAGACCAAAGTTTAATATCACAGCCGGAGATTTAAGTCAAGCTTATGTCCATCTGATGCTTGCTTGGGCAATTTGTCCACATGAAAGCTGCCTGGCCAAACCAAATCCAATGCCTCTGTAAGCATAAAAGGTGTCCATGCGACACCGAAGCCAATAGGGAAGTCATCAAATCTTGCTGTCATAGTAGATGTTGTTCCTGCTCTGCTTGGTTTGTGCACAATAGAGTGAGGCTGGACACGAAGAGACATCGCGGTGGGAGAGTTGCCGGGTGATGATTCCATGAAGGTCATGATCCTCTGAGACTGATATCTTTTAGCTGCTCCTCTTTCCCTCTTGTGTGCATTCTGGTGACCCCCCAAAGCTTGTGAACAATAGAACTTCCTCATGCAAAAATTGCATGAGAAAAGCTTTCTACTGGCAGGTTTTGATGGAGAGGCACTGTCTTTAGCAGTAAAGGACTCATTTCTGTTGAGGCTTAAACTCAACCATTCACACATATCATCTTCAACGCCTGTTTCATTAGTACTGTCACTAGTTTTCAATCCCTCATCTCTGTTGATGACTGAGGGCTCATATGCTTCGTCCCTCTGGAAGACCATTTCACCACTGCTACAGCCAAGGAACCAACCCGAGACGAGCAATTTCTATTCCTGAATGCCTATCACCTCTTACAAATCAAAATGGGCTAGTTACATACAGAGCTTACCAGAATCAAGTGGACCGAAAGTTACTCCTGTCCACCGACCCTCGCTCAGACCTTTGCATATAGCCTTTCCACCACTCTGAAGTTGAGTTGGAGAGGGTTGAGGCAATGAAGTGCTTGCTCCTAAATAAGGGTAAATGAAGGAAGGTTGTAATGGACAAGAATGGAGGAATCATAAGGGGAATGGAATTGGCAAGGCATATTATTTAATTTTATCTCATTTTGTTCTAGTGGCAATGCTTGTGTCATCTTTTACTATTGGCTATGTCAAGCTTAGGATTCTATACTTATCTTCTTTATTTTTCTTTATCATCTGTAATGGCCTCAGTTTCTGGATTCTCTCCCAAAAGGGCCAATACAGAAGGTTAACTACATCCACAAAGCCACAACTTGTCAAATCATGATCGATATTTTTATTTATTGTGTGTCTTTTTAATGGGGGCAATGTGTCATATGTCTCACTTTAACTTTGTTCTTTGTACTAATTATATGCTAAATACTATTCTGGGTTATTGTATAGTATCAAAAGCTTCTGCAGGTGCTTGTAGTTTAAATTAGGGAAGCAAGTTATCGAAAAGTTTGTGCGGGTAGAAAGGTCAATTCAGACCAATGTAATTCAAACCCTTCAATCGGAGCACATTTATACTAAAAGTTTCAAGGGTAAATACCATAGTTAGTCCATAAATTTTATATCAAATTTTAATTTGGTCTCTGAAATTTTTAATTGTTCTAATTTATCAATTTTGTTTCAATTAAATCATTCTGATCATTTCTACCATTTAGATCAAAACAAAAGCATGTGATTTAACATAAATAGAATAACTTAAACGAGAAAAAATTGATAATTAAGGGATTAAATTAGATAATTAGGGTTCCATATTAAGATTGCACAACGAGAGCTAAAAGCGACAATAGTCACATTATACATGATAAGACTCTATCATATTTATTTTCGAGAAAGTGGGCCCAAGGAACTGGCAATAATGTGACGAAAAGTAGGCAGTATTGGTTCGGGGTGCTTCTGCTTCTCTAATAAGACTATTTTTGAGGGCCTTCAAGATGTGGGCAATGTAAATATAGCAGTTTGGTGTCTCCATAAAGAGGGCATGTTTGTTGTTCTCTCTCTCTCTCTCTCTCCGATGAAATAAAATAATAGTCTGGTGTTGGATTGATGAGTCACAGCTTTTATGGGTTTCGTATAATAATATTATCTCCTGGTGGGATGATTTGGGGGTTGGAATATCACCACATTGGCGTGGAAACAATATCGAATTTTGATCCAAATATGATTTAATTAATTGAATAAAAAATGATATATTTTTTTTTCCAAAAATTTGAACTCCAATTAGAATTGGTTATATATATCACACTTCACAGATACAAATTTAAAGATATATTTAAATTTATATCTGGTAGGATTATGATTGGCTCCCAACGATATATGTACACATACAATTATAAGCTTCGACTTTATGGAATTCTACAGGTTGGATTTCAATTTTTAACAAAATTTAACAGTGAAAATGGAATTCTTAAATCAAAATTTGATCCCCTTGACATGCCTATAACAGATTTCAAGTGTTTTTGCTCACAAGGTGAGTAATTATTATAACAGCAAAAACTGTAAAGAATATTTTAGTGCCCCAAAAAAATAAACAACACAAAAATAGAATTTTAGGGACAACTGCCTTCCTTTCTTTTCGGAGAAGTCACATATTCCTCTATTTTTAAGTTTTCGGGTGGAAGAAGTGATATTGTAAAACATTAGGGTATAAAACTAATAAAAAGGGCAACTACTTTGTGTAAGGGCTGTGCAAAATGAGCCACTGGCCTAAATATCTTCTTGAAATACAGGTAATACCCTGCTTTGTGGGTTTTTTTTTTTTTTTTTTTTGGGGGGGGGGGGGGGGGGGGGGGGAAGGGTGCATTTTCGATATCCCGGTTCTGGGTGGTAAAGAGAGGGATTGCTTCATGAGAGGGCATGATACCATTGTGGTGCTGTCCAAGTGTATTGAGGAAAGCTCTGTTCAAGTCCCTTTCACGAAAACGACCCAATCATATACTAGTGTTTTTTGTGGATCTAATTCCAGTAACTCGCACCATGACACAGAACTCTCTCTCTCTCTCTCTCTCTAGTTTGCATTATCCCCCTTCACTCTTATTTTGCAAGAGCAATGTTACATAAACTTAAAAATTAAACTTGATAATTACAACAATTCATTTCGTATTGGTTCTTAACATTTATTGAGACTCACTACTTAATTCAATGGTTGTGATTATCAAGTCTAATTTTTCAGTTTAATTTTTAAATTCATGTAGCATTACTTACTTTGCAAAGTCCATTGAGGACAGACCCAAAAGCAGAAGTCATCAATTGAGGGGTTCAGTGGTCAGGGAGGTATCCTAAATGCTGTTCTTTGGTCATCAACCCTCTAAGGGACATCAAACACATTGCAGGCAGCTTTCAGATCATCCTTTTCAAGCATGAAAAAGTTTAAAGGATGAGTTTCATCGGATCCTCCTGGGTGTGTGCACATAATTTAATATGCTAATTCCTAAACTACACGGGTGTCAATTGGATATCATAACATGCACATCAAATTCTGGGCAATCTCACTTTGGCCGGACACTCCCACTTTTTGAAAAAGCCAGTACATTACTGTAGATCACCCCCATAATTGATGCAGCACGAGGGAAAATTGAGGAGGAGAGGTGATTAATGATGTGGGACTGGGTGTGTGGTATTGTCCAAACACAGGCATGTGCTCTGAAATATCACTTCCAATGGCATTACCTCCTAGCATTGAACCATAACGTGGTGTGTTCCAAAAAGAAACAAGAGAACAAATTTCACCACAATGTGCAAATTAGGGAATTCACCGAATCCTGATGCCTTTAATTCCTGGGTCGTTTAACTGGAAACCTAACATTTGCACCAAGCGATGGCCACAGGAATCACCACAAGATATAAACTCCACCTATAACCAGATTCTCAAGAATAATTCAGCTTAACTGACCGGTATAGCAGACCATAGAATAGAATCCACAATGTCTTCAACATGCAACCAGTAGGAAGAGAGGATAATCTACAGGCTTACATTTAAAGAAATGGCCAATTCAAGAAAGAACATGCATCATTTTCGGCTGGATGCGAAAGAATTTCTATAATCCAAAATATTCTTTCCTGGATTGGAAGAGCTTATATTGAGCCAATAACTCAGGACAGCAAATCCAAGATTTATTAGCTAATCAAATACCTCTATTCCAGGCACTTAAGCCTCCATGTATATACAGCAATTAGACTTGGCAGGTGTCATCATCCTACAGAAACCATACTAAAATTTAGGTCTCCAGTATAACCAGCTGCAAGAACCTGCAGGCGCATTCAGGGCTACAGAAGCTATGGCCATGTGCAATCACGTTCTATCACAACCCAGTCTGCCATTAAATTCTAATAGAGGATTACAGTGAAGTCCAATAATTTAGTAATACATGGCACGAAATTCCAAGAGAGAAGAGGTATAACACCAACCTAATACCAAATACACCAGTAGTTACCTAGTATATATAATATCCCTGGCCACCACAATAGGGCTAGCAGGCATAAGGACACCAAGAAGAGGATCATACTCATTGATCTTAAGGTAGGGGAGAAAACTGTAATACTCCAATTGTAGCAAGAAACCAGAGATCATTTGACAAAACAGGCAGCATGATGAGGCTATGCCATATAATTGACTTAAATAATAAAGCACATTTTCCATAGCATAACCGATTTGATAGAAGTTAAAATAAATCTCCTAATCTCAACAAAAAGTACAAAATTTTAATTTCCACAAGAAAGGAAAGAAAGAGGAAAGCTTACAGCCTTCTATTCCGAGAAGAGTTCCAAAGGTATACTTCTAAACCTTCCACAATGTAGCACTTGGCCTGCTGATCAAACAGCTAGTTTAAGTACCTACAATACAAATTTATAAGTAGATCAACAGATGCAGCATAAAATTCTCTTTGGAATGGGAGCGGAGTGGGTATATTTTTGGAATTCATAAACCTGCACTTTTTCCATAAAGCATGGATTATGCGTTCTATGGGTGATATGTATAAGATATAGCCAAATATGTCGAGGATTATGTGAAATATTTTCAAATTTGGATATTCTGGGATACACCACAAATAAGCGAACAATACATTTAGGAATTAGGACACTCGGGGTTGCGCTGGGATACCCCAAGACTAGGTACATGATTTTTTATGTTTTAAATGGTCCAATCAGGCAAATAAAATAAGTATTTCTATAAAACAAAAATATGAAGATTCTCATGCCAAAAAAATACAATTTTGATTTCCGAATGAATGATCTTTAAAACATTACTCAATAAACTCTCTTAGAATATATTATTACTCACATATTTCAATTGGTACATCTCAAGGTTATCAGTATCCTAATCTGGATCCTAGGATCGTAAGATCCTATAATCTGATATAAGCAAATCAATCTGAGTCTCTTGTAGAATAAAAAATTCGTAGGATTTTAATGAATCGTGATCTGAATCTTATAAGATCTTAGAATCCTAATCCAAACTGCAATTTTACTGATCCAAATTGTTGAATTTGTTTGTTAGACGCATTTAATCATTGAACAATCCAATCTATATTTTTTGTTTTCATAATCAACGACTCAATCTAAACGCGAATGTCTTATATAATTGTGAGTTTATTGGGTAATATTAATAGATTAAAAAAGCTACAAAAGTTTGATTCATTTATAAAAAAGTCACTTAATTTGTTTGTCTTCCTTGTTAAAAAGTTAAACTCAATGATTAAATTTGATTTTCTCTCTTGATGAGTGAACATAGCCCGATAGTCTTCCATTTTTATTATTTTCTGTTTTTTTTGTTTGGATGTCGAATAGTCAATTCATTATCTAATAGTATTTCAACTTTCCAATCTCTATTATGTATCTCTTTCTTTGAAAATTAAGATCAAATATTTCAATTCTTCTATTCATCTTTGCAAAATTTCACAAGAATAGTAGTTCATTTTTTATTTTAAACCATCTTCAATGCTCAAATTATAGTTTATCAAATTTTAATCATATATTAAGTTCTATATTTGTCATAATATTTCTATTTATATAGATACTAGGCGTGTTTACTTCTTATTTTTGAGAATTTTG